AAAAAGCTGTTCCTCAGTCTGCTGTCTTTTGTTAGCTATACACCAGGGGTGGCCAACCCTGTTCCTGGAGAGCCACCTTCCTGCAGATTTCAGTTGCTACCTATATCCAACACACCTGATCCAATTAATTAGGACCTGAACACCACGTGATAACTACAGGCAGGTGTGTTTGATTTGGGTTGCAACTGAAATCTGCAGGAAGGTGGCTCTCCAGGAACAGGGTTGGCCACCCCTGCTATATACTGTAAGACATGAAACTTGTAAATAATGGAAATTACTCTTAATTTATTACATTGTTTACTAATAACTTTAGTTGAAATAAAAAATAAATCTTATTTTCAAATTCATATTTATATTTAGAGGTATTTTTATGTCATACGTCAATGTCTTTATTTATATAGCACTGCAGGTTGAATGGCCCAAAGTGCTTCACTTCACATATGTGGGAATGTAAAGTCCAAAGTATAATCATTAAATTACACAACAAGCATTTCTTAGAGTACATCAAATGCAAACTGTGACCCTAAAGCCTCTTGAATGTAGAGAGGAAGATCATTCCACAATTTTGGCCCTACCACAGCCAATACACAGGCGCCTTATGATTTCTTGTTAGACTTTGGAACAGTGAATAATGACAGTTTACTTGATCTGACCGGATTGCGTTTCACTTGTAGTGTAGTCATTCTAGAAAAGCTTACAAAACAAAAACCAACATGTTTGTTTGAGGGCAAAATTTTTTTTCATTTACTCATTTTCCTCCGGCTTAGTTTCTATTTTAAAGGTCACCACAGCGAAATGAACTATTCTGGTATATGTTTTGCGCAGCGGATGTCCTTTTAGCATGCAACCCAGTACAAGAAAACACATACACACTCAAATTCACACACACACTCATACACTACGGCCAATTTAGCTTACGCAATTCACCTGTACCGCTTGTCTTTAGACTGTGTGGGAAACCGGAGCACCCAGAGAAAACCCACACCAACACGGGGAGAACATGCAAACTCCACACAGAAATGCCAACTGGCCCACCCGGGACTCAAACCATTGACCTTCTTGTTGTAAGGTGACAGTGCTAACCATTGAGCCACTGTGCCACCCCCCTTTTTTCATTAAAATACAAAATATGAGCACAATGAAAGCTGTGATATTTCTGGCTAATGTGACATCGTTGAACTTTACAGTCGTCTTTAATTGCTCACTGATTTTTCGATGGCTTTTGAATCATGTGAAGTTTGAACAAACTCTCTCAACTTTAAACCAGGAGTCACTCTTTTTTAGTGACTGTGGCAGTCCGTCATTCCTGGGGTTTGGGTTTGCTTGTCCCTCAGCGGAAACGCACAAAGCATCAAAGAGCCCCACCGGCCTCAGCACTCGGTGACTTCGGGGCTGAGACTGTCTATATGAATGATGCTAATAGCATCTCACCGATCTCTGAGGTGAACCAATGAAAGGATGGTGTCAGAAGTCTAAAACACTACAAAAACAATCCCCTCCAGGTTTCCCTGGGTGATTAAAATGGATGGATCCAAAAAAGAACATCGCTGCCGATGTAGTCAATGCATCCTCTGGGCAAAACCGGCTACAAAAGACTTTAAAGCGTTGCAAACTTTAAAGCCAGAAAAAAAGTAATTAGTTCCTCTGCCTTTGTTATCTCTCGATTATTTCAAAGGGCATTTGTGCTTTTTTGTTTTCTAATAAATCAAACTGCTATAAGGAGCTGAGAATCTTGTTTTGGATTTTGGTCAAGTATAGAGTAGTAGACAAAGCTCATATTAGATTATCAAAAATGTTTGCCAACAATTTATTTATAAATTTTTTTTTTGGCTCAGCTGGTGTCTTCTACATCATCTGGTTTGATGCTAAAGGGTTTGTATGTAACTCAAGAAAAACAAAACACATGAAATAAATGCTACAGTAATTTATAATAAAATCTGTGCTGTTTTTAAATCATTAGTATGTTAGTATATTAGTATGTTGTTGTCTTTTGCCATACTAACACAACAGTTTTAGTAATATAAACAAATGACCTAATACCAGGGCTCAATTTGTGCCGGATCCGGCACCTCTGAAATCTGATCCGGCACCTCATTTTACTGATCCCCCTCCTCAACCGCCCTCCTCCCCGATCCACTCTTCACTTTCACTTTCGCCCGCAACATCCCTCCACCATCCAACTCCCTGCAACAAACCCCCCCAAACCCCCGGCTCTTCACTTTCATGCGTAACACCTCTACATCCTCTGGTAACATGCTGGATCCGTTACCCCGATCGGGACCTCACAATTTACAAATTAAGCACTGCCTAATGCTGTATTTGTCCATATGGTATGGTAACAATTGAGTCGGAGTGACAACGAAGGTGAGAGACCAAACGCAGTTATTAACAGCTTACTCAGACAGGCAATGGTCAAACAGGAACAAACGGTATCATGAGGGTCATCCAATAACGTAGTCGTGGTCATAGGCAGAGGACAGTTCAGGCAGAAAGCAGGATAAACAAAGAAGCAAGACAAGGATCTAAAAGTAGGGATGGCTGATGTGAAACTGATGTCTCAACACAGTGTCGAGTCCTGTAGCGCAAGTGTTTCAAAACACTGCAACGAATCATGATACGAAACACCCAGGTCATGTGACTAAAGTGTTTTGAAACACCCGGTCACATGAAACCTGTCATTTCAGAAGTGTTTGGAGACTTGGCAAATCTGCGTTTGACTGCCAGGTTTGGAAAAAAGTACATCTCATGTAGCCTATTGGACCGTTCAAGTAACTGTGCTGCAAATGGGCAGAGTTCCAATCCCAACTTGTACAAATATTTAGAAATTATGGCTAAAACAAAATATATTTATTCACAAAGTATTGGACCATGACCACAAATGTCAGACCAATGTTAAAGCAAAACACGTTACAAGAACAGAGCATTTAAAAGCATCTATATCTGCATCTCCCTGGATTCGGACCCACTATCCCTGCATGCTAGTTAGGAACTTTTACTGCTTCACCGAACAGCTTGAAGCCTCAAACATGGGGTGCAATACCTCCGTTTGCTTAATAATTTCTTTGCTAAAGCTGTTCCTGAGCAATACATAAAAATGACCACTAGTTGTCACTATAGAGAGGGGTTTCAAAATGTTGGAGCAGCAGGACATTTGCTTCGACTGTTTCAGTGTTATATAAAGCCTCGCTTTGCCCACTACTATCTAAAACCAGGGTAAGACTAGACAAAAAAAATGCTTACAGGTAAACATACAACAAGACTCAGCAATGAGTATGCGTGTGAGAGATGAATATATAGTCAGTGTGATGAATCTATGATTAATTTCCAGCTGTGTGTGTGCAATCAGGGAAAGAACTGGAATTGGCGTGTGTGTGCGGTGCATGGTGGGATTAGTAGTTCATATCGTTGGCAGATTTGTAGTTCTCCAGCGATCTGCAATTGCTAGATCGTGATCGTGACGGGTATATTATAAAGTAAGATATATTACTACAAAACACTACAGTTTACTGTAGTTTAAAAACTAAAGTATACTACAGTTTGCTGTAGCATTATTAACAAAGTGCTGTAAATACTATAATATATAGTGAATAATACACTTACACTATTGTATGGTTTAAATACACTGCTATAAATTTCCATAGTATTTTATTCATGTGGGATCTGTGTCTGATGTGTTCTTAATTGTCTGTTTTGTGTCCTCTTCAAGGTCATCCACATCACTGGCAGGCTGCGGATAAGAATGGCATTAACGCACAGTCGTTCGGTACCCAATCAAATCATGGGCATGGTTGTGGTGGCACACGCACTTCCTCCACCAACCATCAATGAGGTTCGGATCGACTGTCAGATGTTTGTTACACGGGTCAACATGGATCTCAACATTGTCTACTGTGAAAACAGGTAACAGGTGTTCATGGTAATTCGGGACTTTTTGATTTAGTGAGTAATTTGTATGAATTCATACAATCTCATTCGTACAATTTAGTACGATTTGCTTATCGTCAATAACATACTGACACAACTCTGATAAATAATAATAAGCAATAAAAATAATAATGATAACCTACAGATAAAAGGTCAACCATGTGGTTATGATGCCGGTTAAGGGTAGGGTTTGGTGCCATGCCTCCTTTTTAAAATTGTACATTTTTGTGCGACTGAACTTGTAGGAATTCATAAAAATTAGCCACTAACCTGACAAAACGTAAAATAGTTCTGTTTTCTTGTGAGATCATGCTGCAATAACTCCCATATTATGCTCATATGATTACCTTTATGCTGTGTATATGGTTGCTGTTTATGTTATATATATATATATATATA